CAAGACTGCCAAGGTTCATTGCTTTATTTGAACTTCACTATTAGTGTTTTGTTTGCCACATGTTTATGTCCTGAAGTTTAGGATTTACTTTAAGTTTTTGAGCTACTATTACAATTGTCATAAGAAAGTAATAAAAATATAATGTAAACTGCTGCATTTTATTCACAATATGTTGGTGTTTTGAGATAAGATAGCAAAGAGAATTTATTCCTTTGTCTGTAGGCATGGAAAGAGGCATGTAGATGTCTGTCCGTCTCACAAGATAGTTTTGGACTGTCTGTAATGTTAGGGTGGCCAGTCATGCAGTTAAGCTAGGTGAATTATTCCTGGAATTAGTTCCGGGTGAAAAAGTTTGAGGGAAACTGTGGGTGGCTGAAGACAGGGTGGCCTATGCATCAATTTAGTTTTCTGACAGGTAAGTTGATAGAAATAAGAAGCACGGCAAATTTCAAGGGGTATTTTCAAAAGAGGAATATTTCAAAGGCAAAAATGGTGTGCTTGGAATTCCATGATTCGAGAGCGCTTGCGTAAGATATTTGGTTAATTCTTTCTTCCACCAGGCTTTGCTGACTTTTCAGACAAAAGATGTGTTCTGAGATGCAGGGCTGACTGAAGCAGATGGTCATTCTGTTCCTTGAATGGTCGTTCTGATGGCTTTTGAAAGGATGAGAACGGAATGTCCAAATGACGAAGGAGACTAGCAAGACAAGCATGTGGGTTGGTGGTGTAGCAGTGAATTGGTCCCAGTGGGACTAATATTCTTCAAATAACTTGGAAAGAGAAAGCTTTACTCAAAAGGCTCAGGGGCAGCCCAAGGAGCAAATAGGGTAATGGAGATCCACGTTGTGTGGGAGAGGGCACTTATGGTTGTCCCTTACAAAAATTCTACTGCTGAATTGAGGAGAGAATTTGAAAAATTTTCTTAATTACAGATTCACTGTTTTGTATTCTGACATTCTGTCCCTGCTAGAACGTAGGAGTTAAAACAGCCTGGGGAAAAAGTAGAAGACAAAAAGGGAAACTACTTTTGACTCCCCACAGACTGCTTGTAAGAAAGAGAGACAGTTTTTCAAGGAAATGATGAACATGTTCTCTGTCATTATTTACCCTAGATAAAGTATTCCTGATTTAGGAATAATTTCCTGCTCCAACCACTTAGCAGTGTTGCTGGAAATCAGAAGGTGGATAAAATCTTTCGTTTGTGATGAGCCTGTGGCACCTGATGATGTGAGCTGTGGAGGAAGGGCTGAGCAAACTATGAGATATCTGGAATGGAGACTCTGTCCCACTCTGCCTGATGGAAATGGAACCCAATTTAAGTCCTAAATTAGATTTTCCTAATGCTAGTCACAGAAATTGTTTTAAGCATATGTTTAAATTTTTATAACAGTTGTGCGTGGGTTCCTATTTTTTTTTTTCTGGCAAGAAATGCTCCTTCTAAAGAAGACAATATTCTTAGTATTGAACTTAATATTAGCTTACTATTAATTTTCTTCTCTGTTTTGAAATATCCCTACCTGTTGGGAAGTAAAAAGGAAAAGTAGGTTGAAAAATGAGATGCATTTTTGAACTGTGTCGTCATAGTAGCTATGATCTATGTTCTCAGAGTGTCAGTGGAGGGCTTTCAGTGCTGTAACTACAAGTGCTCCTGTATGGTTGGAGGTGACAGAAAAGGTGTGTGCTGTGCAGTGACTACTGTTTTTCTTCTGAAGTTACCAGCTTTGTTTACTATGTTTAAAAATTCCAAAAATAGTGTATACTGTTCACTGTGAAAGGTTTATGGTGAAAAAAATTCTCATGATCTTTGTGGAATTAGGGCATAGGCAGATGAATTCTTCTTACTCTTTAGTCCAAAATTTTTGTTATCACAGAGCAAGTATTAGATGCCAAATATTTTTATGTATTATTTTTTTTAATTGCTGGTAAGTAAAATATGGAAGTGTCAAACTCCCAGATTCTTTAAGTTTCAGACTTCATGTTCATAGACTTGTAACTTGATATATACCGTTACAGTGTATGATGTTATGTCATCTCAGACTTGTCTGACACGACGTGTAGTGTGTGACTACAGAACTGGATTTGCTATAATGCAGTCTGATCAGATGGTAGAATATGAAACTGTCCACAGTTAGCCCTGAAATAATCTTTTTTTTTTTTTTTTTTTATATAAAGCTTTCCTTATTCCACCTCCACATTTACAGTGGATAATACACGTATGTTTTTTATTGCAGTGTTATCTTTCCAATTGCCATTAATTAATTCTCTATGTGGAGATTGTTACTCCGCCTTGAGAATGAACACTATATTTTTGATTTTTGCACTGTTCTTTCCCAGGATGCTGACAACTGGTAACTTTGCTTTTATGTATGTGAAAGTTTTTTTTTTTTTTTTGAGGGGTGAGGAAAAGCATTCTTGTTTAAGATGAATCAACCAATAATACATCCAAACAGTAATATTTTTATTAAATTACCTCTTTATAAACAGAATCCTTGTAGATGCTGCATTTTTTGTTTGAAATGCAGCAGACTCAGAATTTGAGAACATATTTTCCTGATGCATGTCCATTTCTGTTTTACCTCAGTTTAGAGCCAGGTAGTCCGAATGATTACTAAAATAGAAAAGAAGGCATGGGAAACAGGAATGTTGCTCTTAGTGAATGTAATGGCAGGGATCATTTTGAAGCAAGTATTTGAAACTATTTTTTAAGTGCAGAAGAAGAGAGATTGGGTATAAGTGTTCTTTTTTTGATTTCTGCTGTTTCCTGCATAGGATCTTCTACAATATGCTGAGGCTGCAGTCCCTTCCAGACTCAATAATGTGCGTGTGATGTAAACTTTTGTTGTTTGAGTTCTGAGTAATATGGCACTGAGGGGGATGGGTGAAGGGAGAGAAAATAGTGTGTTTTGGGTGGTGGAAGATTCAGAAGATCTTTGTGCTATTTTGGCTTTAGCAAGCAAAACAATGCATGAGATGTGAATAGGAAAGGTTTGTAAGTGGTGAAGAAAGAACATCTGTTTAGATGGAGAATTTATTTTAGCTATCTGTGGAGTAGAATCACTCAACTGAAACATGGTGGAGTTTATATGACTTAGAAATTTGGTCTTTATTGTATGTTTTTGCAATATTTAAGATCTGAGAAGTATTTGGAATCAATGCAAGTCCTTCTGTAGTTAATAACAGACAAGAGAAAGCTGATGTAGGGATTTCAACTCCATAATCCTTCTGATTTATTTAGGACATTATAATTTGATAGCTAAGTCTACAAGTGGAATAAAACAAGTTAGTTTGTGGGCAGAAGGTGGAAAGTCTTGTGGCAGCTCTTCTGTGAGTGGCTGCCACAAGCTTTGTTGTTTGCTGTTTTAGGGCTGTGCTTTTTTCCCATTCAATGAATTTTTCTGTGAAGCATTGCAAAATAAAACTGTCTGCCTTTATAAAATACAAGGAAACTCCATTACAAATAGAAGAACTCTGTGTATCACCTTTGTCAGTAGGAGTTATATTTTCAATAGTTTGCATGTACTTCAATCTTTGAGGAAGCTAGTCTGAGAGAAGAAGAAGAGAATTTTTAAGTACTGAATTTTAAGTCTGAATTAACCATAAGCTGCATGTATAGGATGGGATTGTCTTTTTTTTTTTCTTTTGGGCATGTTTTTTTTTTCTTTCTTTCTTTTTTTTTTTTTTTTTTTAGGGTTTACTTCTTCCAGTGTAATGGATGCACCTTTTTCTTTGGTTGTACTTGAAAAATGGTGTATTAATTTGATATCTTGACACCTATATCTTTATCCTCTCAATGAGTAATATCCATGCTTTTTTAGTAGATGGCGTTGTATTGACATCTTGCATAGAAAAAGGAGACTCTAGTGAGCTAGTTAAAATAGTACTAATTGAAAGGCTATTCTCGAACATAAAGGAAAAATCCCCTTTTCTTTTTGAATACAGTTTTCTTTTCAGCACATACATTTTCAGCAGGCATATTAGAAGGCTGACCTTTCTGACACTAGGTGCTTAAATTCTCTGAATGTTTTTTTCGTAAGTCTTTTCATTCAATCCTGGAGAGATTGATGCTTGTATATTTACTCATATTTGTTTCATTACGTTTTGTGGCTGGTCTGTGTTTTAGTCCAGTAGTTATTATACGTAAAAATGAAAATTATCTAATAAGCATCTTCGACTTAAATGCCTGAATTCATAATTGTATGTCAGAAAAGCTTCTGGTCTTTCTTTTGAGTATTGTGGATTATTCCACTCTTATCCTCTTTTTTTAAAATAATATTTTAATTCCTGTGCATCATGAATTCCTTTGTTTTTAGAAGTAGTACCAGAAATCTATACTGTCCTAAACATTCCAAGATAAATAATCTTTAAAGTATGTTAATGCATGCTACTTACATTCTTGTTGTCTAGTTTAGTCTAAATTAATGTTATCTAGAGTTCTATTATGCACTCTAATATTTCAGTGGTTCTGTTTTAGGTAGTCATATTTTCTTAGCTTGAGAATGTTACTGAATTAAAGAAAGATGAAAAATCAGCTATCAGTTATACTGCTGCCTTCTTGTGGCCTAATTGTCCCAGGTTTTCTGGTTACATTTTTCTCACCTATTCGTTTTGAAGCTGTGAGCTACACTTCTTTGAAGATCCATGTATCCGTGTAACAGAATATTTGAGAAGGAAGAAATGAGTGTTTTTTCATAAAATATCTCTATCTGAAGAGGAATAAAAAGCAGAAGACAGTTTTGATATGTAATAATTATGATCTAGTTATTGTGGGAGTTAAAATGATTTGTGGGAGGTATTTTAAGGATCAAGTATGCTTAATGTAATAATTCAGTCTTCATTTCAAAATGTACGATAAATTCCATATTTCCTGTTCACTTCAGTGAAAATCATTGAAGTGTAAATAAAGCTAATTGTTCTTGGATTCAGATTTCTTGCTGTGAGTAGTGCTTTATGTTCTAAATTTTCATGGTTCAAAGTGGATTTTAAAATACTCTTTATTTTAGGTCAAACATACGACCAGATTATGCAGACACAAGCTTTCATGAGTTCAAAATGCATACTTTCAGTCGTGTGACATCTTGCAAAGTCTGTCAAATGCTTCTTAGGTAAGATTTTTAAGGGTTTTTTTTTTTTTTTTTTCCCCCTGGGGTGATATTTGACTCAAAGCATTACATGGAAACATATGGCTAGCTGGTTACATATTAAAGGCACTCAAGCCATAAAGTCCATCACACACAGTGTTAGTGAGATTTTGATAATTAATTTACAAAATATTAAAAGGAATGCTGTTGAAAGGCCAAGACATCAAGGGGCTACCCCATTTTTCAGAAGGCAGCTTTGTTAAATCTTCCTGTGAACATTGTTTTGCACAGGAATTGTATGCAAGCGTAAATGATGACCATTTTGTATAGTTTTGATGAACAGGGCTGAGCCACAAGTCCCACTGCTGTAGACCACCAGTCTCAAGGACAGATGGAATGTTTTCTTCAAAAAAAGGCAGATGACGATGTTCATAAATGTTTGATATGGGGAGATTGCTTTGTGAAACAGCAAATAGCTGTCTCTCAAAGCCACTGCTAAAATAGAAGTATGTAGACAAATTGAAAATGGATGTTGGAAAGCTAAATAAGAAATGCTAATCCTTTCATGAGCAAGGATTTCTAAGGGTAACTCAAATTGAGAAATTCCTTGTTCTCTTTCCTGTGAAATACATGTATGCTTGCACATGAACACCAATGACTTCTCGGTAAGCTACCTCTGTTTTTGTAAACATGGAGTGTTTAATGGTACTTGTATAGAATGGTAAATTTCACAGTGTGAGCTGGAGTTACAAAAGTTCTGTAAAGCTTGGCTGGTTCAGGTGCACATACAAGGTTTTATTACATTTAGAAAAATGTAACCACAGCATTGTAGGAAGAGTGTTTGACACATGGGTGGTATTTCTGTTAAGCACAGACATGGAATACAATAATCTCAGGTGTGTTCCTTCTTGCCTTATAAATGTGTTTTCCTTTAGCAACCTTTTTTACTGAACAGTTGTATTGACTTTGAGTTTCTGAGATATTTTTTAGACGTTTTGCTCAGTGCAATAAGCTCTAAGTGACTATGAAGGATGCTGCAGACATCCTGAACTTAGAGATGGCATGCCTCATTTTTGAATTTGAAGTGGAATAGTTGAGGCATTGTGTCTCTGTTACTGTACTAACTGCTGTTACTGAGAAACGACTGTCTTGTTTTCAGGACGCAGCCTGCAAGAAACTGCATTGTTCTGCATAGGCATGCCAATTTGCTCCAGGGTATATTACACACCCAAGTGTTACCTTATAGTATATAGACACGTCCCTGGGTATTTTAGTATGGAGAGCCTACTGGGCACAGGTCAATAAGACATCAAAACAATTTATGAAAAGGCATTGTCATTTTAACATTCAGAATGCTAAACTTGTAAATTCTTGAAATAAAATGTGAACCTTAGTGCCTGATCTTTCTTATGTGGAGATAAAATCTCAGAAGCATCTATTGTGAAGGATAATTTTATATCCTACACTCTTACCATACAGTCTTGCATTCCTGTGTAGCAATAAGGGAAAAAATAACGAAACTGAAAAATGGAACCGAGTGCATTGAAATACTTATTCATCTCTAAGTTTGTGTATTCTGACACATAAATCATACACTTCTGAATTTAATTAAAAAAAAACCAACACATTCAAGCACTAGCAGTCTAGTAACTGCTGTAGTAAGTAGCAGTTGCTGTATGTTTCATTCAGATTACACTTGTCCAATCGTGTATTCCATAGATGAGGCCCGATTTGTCTTTGCAGCTGACGATGACATGTTAAACTAGGATGCATGGTCACTCCAAACTTGGCTGTCTCCACAATTATCCTGACAAGTCTACGGTGAAGAGTAAGCAGACACATCAGTAGACAGAACACATATTATTGCTCAGAAGTACATGTAAAAAACTGTTAGCTGTTCAGTGGATCATACCTGAGATTAAGGCAATGCACAAATCTGAAAATGAATCAGTTTGCTCAGACTCCAAATTCATTAAGGAGAATGGGAGAATGTGTAAAGCCACTCTTTCCTTAGCAGCTCTGGTTATTAAGCAAAGTGAACCCAGATGTATTTCTTTTAAATGAACAAATTTGAAGTCTAGAGTATTTCAGTATAACCCATGAAACCCTTAGTACTTAAATATGTATTCACACTTACATGTTTTTCAAAATGAATTTGTTCTATGTGTTGTCTGGGCAAATTCCCATTGAAGGAAAACTGAGAGTAGCTGCAGAGTAGGATAATTCAGATAACGCTACAGTTTCAAGCTCATTGTGCCAGAGTTGCTTTGGGCTAAATACAAATGAAGATTATTTAACCAGTAGTCCTAAAGAGCTATCTGGTTTTGATTTTATTTTTTTTTTAATTATAAATGGTTAGCAGTGACAAAAAGCTGATGAGCTGCTTGTCAGTTGTCACTATTTCTTGAGCATTTAAGGACTATGATCATGCAGTACAGCAAATGACTTCTACTACCTTCTGCTATGTCTCTTACTTCTTTGTGTACAAAATTTATCACTTCTAATGTATCACTACCTAATTTTATTTTACAGGGGAACATTTTATCAAGGCTATTTATGCTCTAAGTGTGGAGCTGGAGCGCACAAAGAATGCTTAGGAAGATTAGACAATTGTGGCAGAGCTAATTCAGGTGGTAAGTCATTTTTATTGTTAGAATACCAATTTTAATTAGGACATAAAACTTGCTAGATATAATTAAGGTTTAATTTACCCCTAATTTGTGTTTATTGTAACATACATACTTTTGAAACTACCATTTATAAGTACAATTAGAATTGCATTTAGAATTCATGGGGATTTTTATTCTTGCTAAATTGAAATGTTAAAAAGCAAGAGACTGAACTGTTACAGGTCAAACCCAATTTCTTTGTCCATGTCCTATACAGCAAGAAATTGCTCTGGTTTTAATCGTACACTGCTCAAAGTAACACCTAATGTATGACTTATCATCTATCATCTTCATGGTTCTCCCTTTATGTCTACATCAATTGTTATATTTTTCTCTCAGCTGCTGAAACTGTGTTGCCTCAGCTTCCACTTTCATCTCTTCGGTTTCCATGGTTTCTGTCCACTCAATATTCACAAAAATATGATTGATGTATCACTGCTGCCCACACCTAAGGACCAATTTTTTGTCATCTTTTAATCAATTGCTCTACTCCATTGGTTTCTTCCCTAGCTATCAACATTTTGTGCTCATTCCATTCTCCTTCTGCTCCAAGGACTTCTTGTGACTTAAGCTACCATTCAGGCTCCCTCAAACAACTCTTATTTGTTATCTTCACATTTGACTTCTTTCCACTCTGCTCAGCATTGTTTGTCGTTTTCTCTGACATCCCTCACTGCTAATGCCAAATATTGTTGCTCAGTATTTGCATGCTTTCCCTTCCCTGTACCTGTTCGCTTAGTGGCAGTGAATCTGTGCATTTCAGCCAGCTAGTCATGTAATAGGAGAACTGTTTTTGACTCTCCCCCTTATCCAGCTTCTCTTAGTCTTTCTAGAGATTATTTGCCAGTGCTGGAGCTGGCAAAATGGAAATTAGAGCTCTCCCCCTCTATCTATACTTTTGGATTTCCTGAACTTCATATAGAATCGTACAGAATCATACTTGATAATATATGAAACAGAAAAGCCATTGGAACACATCATAACTTCTGAAAAGTGTAACTGTATTATTTGGAGAAGCTTTCTGATAAATTGTCCTATTTGCTTTTGTAAAATTGATGCATTCTTTTCTGGAATTACTTCATAATTGTGTGAAGTTTCTTGTCTCGTATATTTCATGTAAGCTATGCAACCTCTTATCTTGCTCTATTTTCCTCTTTTGGCATTGCTATCACGATCCTTGCAAAATGCAGTTCCCACTGCTTGAATTACAACATGACTTCATCTACTCTTCTTCAACAGGCTTCTGCTTCAAGATTTTGTTGCTAGCTTTTTGTTCCTTTCCAAGTTGGGTGAGCTTGCTTCTTTCTTTGCCCTTGTTTGCATCACTTTCCAGCTTCTGCTTGGCTTTTGATTCAGCATAATAATTTGCCCAAATTACTTCCTCCTTTAACAAGTTAATTAGGGACAGCAGTTCCTAACTTTTGCTGCAACCAATTAAGTTTACTTTATTAATTGTTTTCTTGTACTGATTATCTTCTGTGCTCTTGTCCCACTCTGAGCTTTTTAAGTTTATCTTAGGTCCAAAAACTATACAAGCAACCACGGTATTTTTCATTCAAATATTTGTTTTTGTGGAGTACAGAATTTTCATAGAACCTCCTAAGGTTATTCTAGAGGAAAATAATATAAATAAGTATTTTAAGGTAATTACATTTAAATTAATAGAGAGGAAAAGCAAAGACACTTTTCTTTACCAGAAAGCTATCTTTTTCACTATAAGCCATCCCTGCGTATTCTTTTCTCTTTTTCCCCTTCTATTTTAATCGTATAGCTGACATGCCAGGAGGCAGGAACTTGTCTTTCCATTTTTCTATAAAGATTTGTGGATTCGTACAGTGCAATGTATATCAGTAAGAATGTCAATCCCACAAGGTCTGATTTCTGGCAATATTCCTACATCTGTACTCAAGTAATGCTTGCTTGGAGTAAACAAAACAATGTCATTCCCCCCTTCTCCATCCCAACTATGAAAGAAAAAAACCAAAACAACAGCAAATCAACCAACAAACAAATGAACCAAAAAAACCAACCAAACCAGAACCAGAAACCTCTCAAAAAAACATAGATACAAAAATCAAAATAAAAAAAACCCCACCACTTTATTAATGTCATAAATTTTCATTTTATAACTTGAAAGCAGCAGAATTTTCCTATGGGTTTAAAAAAAAAAAGGGGGGGGGGGTGCGCGCTGCGAGTTTAAGTTAATACTGCATGAATTTTTGCTAAACTTGGAAGCAACTGTTTTTTTCTTTTAAGATTCTGTTTTTTGTTACATGCTCTGCTTACATCAACATATACCACTTTGTGTCCCCGCTGCAAACTTTTCTCTTGCCAGTTTGTTTTACATTTATGGAAGAGCTCCTAGATTTCTATACAAGACAGAAGAGCTGCATATCTTTTGCATGCTCATAGGATGTAATGCTTCTTTACAACCTCCTTTGAAAATAGTTCAGACCACAAAAGCTAACAAAATTTAAATTGCAATTCTTGCAATGCTTTCTCTTGCTCTTTAACCAAATAAGAACATGAGGGACAAATAGTCTTACATTTTTTGCTGTTAATGTGTCTTCTCTCAACACACAGAGCAAATTTGGCCAATGAGCAAAAAATATCTAATTGTGGCTAACAATCTTTGTAACACTGAAGTCTGTAAATTTTTTCCCTGAGCCCCTCATAGATTGCATATCTTATCCTGGTTATTTTTGACCTTGTTACCTTTTAAAATTAAGTTGCAACTTCTTGATTTTTGTGAGAAGTATAGATGGAAGTTTTCAGTGAGTGCTTCTGGATAACTTAATGTTTCATGGCCTCTTTGTTAGTGTCCTCTGTGAACTGAATAGTATTAACTTTTTATCATCTCTTTGTAAGTGGACCTGTGCCTTAGACAATTTTCATACTAGATATTTATTTGAAAAGAGGTGATCAGAATTAAAAACTCTGCCAAAATGAGAATACGCTGGGCTCCTAAAAAGCATTTGCAGAGAATTTTCATCGGTATTTTTTTTTTTTTCTTTTCTTTTTTTTTTTTTTTTTTGTGTGTGTATGGTTTAATATTTTCTTTTTAGACCTCTGAGCAGGTGCTTTTTTTAAAGCTTTCTGAAATGATGCTTAGAGCATCTGAGTGGATTAAAAATTTGTAACTTTATTTGCATTCCATTTCGAGCCAGTTTTTGAAAATGCAAAAGATAAAGGTGCGAAGATGGATGAAACCTTCCGAGTGATGAATTTAATAAATGTCATGTTTAGATGATATACTTGTGAGAGAAGCATTGACAAAACCTGAAGATAAATTGCAGTGTTGTAATGCTTTACCATCTACACCAACATATGCTAATTCTTCAGATGTCCTGCTTTGAAGAAGACCAGTTCATTAGACTATAGATGTTGCAATGATAAAAGATAGACTTCATCAGTTGAATTAATAAATAGAACGTCTCTGTTTAGTCCTTGTTCTTCTTATTGTTCCTGCCCATGTTGCTCTGAATCTGTGTGCTGATTGAAGTGCTGTGCTCACTTCTGTCATGATTTGGTTTCCTTTCCTCTGCAATGAAGACAAAGGCCTGCTTAAATATTTTCCTATATTTTACTTATGTTATATCACGTCATTTTTTCTGTGACTTCAAATCCTCCATCCCCTTCGTTGCCTATGTTCTGACAAATTCCTTTAGGCTGCACAACCATACTTAAACACCAGGCTTCATAAAGCTTTTATCTTTACACATGAAGATTATGAAATCGGCACACATATTTCTTTTACAGGGCTACTTAAATAAACATATATGCTGTTTTTCTTTAACACAGAGATCTCCTGTTACCTTACTAACTCTTCTGACTTTCAGTGGCACATCTATGTCTCATTTCAAGGCAGACTACAATTATGTTCATCTGATATTCTGCTACTTGTTGGAAGGTTTTATATTTTGAAGTGGGTAAGAGTGGGTCCTTTGGTGAAGTGAGCATCAGTATGACAAAACTTTGAGACATAGGGAGAAACTGTCTGCCTTTTTGTTCTTATTTATATTGCACAGGTTGTTCTGTGGTCCTTGCAATTTCTGCAGAAATTCTTAATATTGGCCAAATGAATATCATCACTTGCTCTAGAACATACTGCGTAACTGTAGGCCTATTTCTAGTTGAAAATTGCAGAATTAACAAACCACTTTCATTACCAAATTCATTCAGCTGAATGGAATTAAGTGTTTTCATGCAAATGTCTTCTGGTTCCATAGACTATTGAATATTTCAGTTAGATGAAGCTGTACTAATGGTTGTAGGGTCTGAAATCATTTAAATATTTCAAGTACAGTGGCAAACAATATTTTTTCTATTCTTCACATCCCTCTTCCCAGGGAATGCTAAAAGTGTCCCTTTACTGAGGCAAAAATTGGTTAGAAAAACGCTTATCAGGTGTTTTTATAGTAACTTCCAGCTAATTTATGCGTGATTCTTTTATTCTTCAGGTTATTCCATTTGAAAAATAACAGCAACTTTCCTCCTATAATCATAGAAACATATGATTCTAGATGGAAAATTATTTTTTCAAGTATATGACAAATGTTAAAGCAAGTGTTACTGTACAAATGGTTTAAGTTTGGGATGTCTTTTGTATTATAATGCTCATGCCCAATGATACAGTCCATGCTGTTTATGTAATAGTTGCTTGCTACAGCACATCAGAGATAATTTATAAAAAGCATGCGTTTTTGGCATCTAAAGGGAAAACAGCAGCTTTCACTGTTTACCTTTTTGCTGGCTTGATCAGTAGTTGTGAAATTGCTGGCTTTTCTCCAAACCTACCATGCCAACAGCACAGACAAGTAAATGTTCAAGTCCCAGAATGTTCATTGGAATTATGCCACTTCTTGTTTAAATGCAACTAAGGTTGGGCTGTATTATTTAGCTAATCACCCTTGCTCAACCTGAGCAGAAGTCACTTAGGGGGCTTGATGTTTTGTGTAGAGACCTATGCTACCAATACTGGTGACATTATTTGCTTTTCTTCTGATTATTCAGTGTCTGGTTAAGTGACTGGAGCCAGTTGTGCTACAAGTCCTTTAAGATAGCTTGCTTGATAGCTACTCTTTTTAAATATTTGTTTTCTTTTAAACTGGGAACTTGAGTAGTTTACTGCATAACCACTTATTTACTCTCCACTGAGTAAGCATGCAGAATGCAGTTGCTCTCTTGCATTGCTGAGGAGCAGCCCATAGTGTTTTTTTTATCTATTCCCCCTTCCTTATTGAGGCCAGTGGCTAGTTTTGTTTCTTTTTTAATCAGATATAATTACTAAACTTTGACCCATAGCATAGCCTCACTGAATAAATGAAACCTAAAAACTGTGGTGAACTATGACAGTAAAAGTCACTTGCTAAGACCTTGATGAGTGTGTAGGTGATAAGCAGAAACTTGAATTAAAATTGTTGTGTAAAAATACCTACTGATGGATATCTTCAGAAATTTTTTTTTCCTTCCAAAATATCCAAGTAAATATGGGTTAGATTTTTGCTCTTTGTAATAGTGTAACATTCGGAAAAAAGATTTTGAACTCTTATGATGAAGTAATCTACATAATTTGGCAGAAAAAATTCTGAACCACAGGAACACTTGAACTTTAATGAATAAAAAGATAGTGAGCCTTATTTTTTGAATAAGCTTTTAGGTGGAAATAGATATGAAATATTTTTTGTTCATTTCATGATAAAAGTGAAATAATGAATCATATTTCAGTCTGTCAGTGTTGGTTAAGTTTTTGACTTTATATGAGTTAATGCAGAGAGAGCTTAAAGAAACAGTATTCTTCATTGGAGCTGCTACTGCTTTTTGTAAGTTTGAATTTGTTCTCTAGACTTCAATAGTAAGTGTCCTGCTGGCCACCTTGGTTAATGGAGCAGTTTACTTTTTTTAACCTATGAATTAGTCAAAAGAAAAAACCCACATATTTCTCATGGAATTTACTTGATGCAAGTTATCAAGAATATTTATTACCTTCCTCTGTAGTGATTTTTAGAATCCAGATATTGGAAATTAATCAGCAAGTTCCTTAATTAATTATGAAAAGTGTTGGGATGCTGAAATAACCAAATCGAACTCATTCGTGTAGTTGTTTGGGGTGTTTGTGGGAGTCGAAAAAAAACTCTTGCTGGAGGTTAGAAGGACTTCCCCCTTTGGTTACTGGATAAGTAATCAGTAGAACTAAAGATAGGCCATTAAAAACAAAACAAAACAAAAACCCCTTCAAATCTGAATTGAAGTTTTACCCCTGCTCCTCTACAAGTAATTTCCCAAATGACTTCCGTTCCTTAGAAGACAATTATAATTCTGAGATGAAACACTGGAAAATTGATAAGTCATTCACATTTAGGCAAAAACTTTTGGAAGACATACTAAATTCTGAAACACAAAAATAGACCTGAGTTTCAGCAACACTTAAGCAACTAATTCCCTCAGGTTCCTGAAAACCTTAGTAGTCTACTTGTAACTCTCTAACTCTGGGGTTGCCTTATTTTTCTTCTGTTTACTCCCCTGTGCAAACACAAATTAACACTTTTGAAAAGGGTATAAATGATAAAAAAATTTGGTCTCAGAGTGATGAGAAAATTCATCTTTGGCATAGTGTATGAGAAGAAATAGCATCTGAAATGGTATGTGAGAAAAAAGGCCTGTTGGTGGTAAATGGGCTGGGCCTCGCGTGCCTGGCCCCACGTCCGCAGCTGGCGTGCTGGGTCTTGGCACGCCTGCTTGTCTTTGCATAAAGCACTCGAAAGCCAAAGGGTTTTTTCCCACACTTCACTGGTTCACATTTTTCTGCTTTTTTAGTGGAACAAAGTCTACTTGCAGTTGAAGCTTTTAATTTGATTTATTGTGAATATAGCTCACTGTGTGCAAGACACAAGGGAAGAAGTTTTCAACGTAACAAAATCACTGGGCATGGACAGTATGTGCTCTACTTTAGCAGCATGTACAGTCCTGGAGAATGTATAGGTAAATGCAGTTGGCTCTCATTTGGTAAGGCACTAAACCCAAGTCATCTAGAGTACACCAAAATATCAGTTATCGAAGTAGACGTGAAAAGAAAGAAGGTATACAAAAAAAAAAAAATTGCCTTTTTGTGTCTTTAGTAATGAGTAGTGGTGGGTGCAAGTGTTATTGCCTTGGTGTCATCTGGTGAACTACATTTTTTTTAATCTCATTTTTAAATAGTACAAGAAAATTCATAGCAAAAAGGTCTAATAAGGACCCACTGGCTTCAGATTCCATGATACACTAACGTAATGCTAAGCTGATGTACAAGTATAGAAAAACTTGCAGCTAAAGATACACATCTTATCTTGATACACTGGCATACTGTGAACAAACAGCTGACAAGAGTTGCCAGCACGATTTGCAATGAAGAACAATAGCTCTTAAATTCCCACTGAGCTGATGCCTACGAGGTGTGTTTGGGACGCTGCAGAAACGCGTGCTGGCTCAGGCTGCCCTGCAGCCACTGGCACCGGGTGTAGCGCTGCCTGGGGAAGAGAGCCAATGAGCGAGACGAGCACGGCCTGCACGGTGCGGCCCTGGGCTGCCCAGGCGTGCTGCAAGGATCAGGTAGCACTGGGTGTAGCAGGGCTTGGTGTCATGCAGCACAGCACGGGCTGAGCTTGCTATATAAGCAGCCTAAATTTGCAATCACCAATAATGCCAATTTTTACTTATGTTTCAGAGCATGGGAACCTGAAACACGAGGTAAGTATCCGTTTTTGTGTGATATTTGCTTTGTTAATGACGTTATTTACTTTGTGCACATGCTGTTGGAGCAGGTACATTTTTCTTCTGCATTTAATAACGTATTTCTTTAGAATGGTGAAAAGCAGCTACTTAATACAAATGTACTGTGTTCTAAGTGTGTGCCAAGTTTCAGTTGGTGTGGCTTAATGTTGGGAGCACTGGAAGGAATAGAGGTGTATTCTTAAGTTACAGGATAAAAAACAATTTTTTAATACAGTTGTCTTGTTCTGCAGTGTTGCTGGACCAAATCTGGCAGTACAGCTAAACTGCTTTTTCGTCTTTTTTGAGTAGTAGCCAGTTCTACTGCATGAGATGTGCCGGCGTATCAGTATCTCGGTATTGGTGTCTCAGTCTATGTTTCTCCGCAGCCTTTATGGACAACAAAGAATAGCAGGGCAGTTTAGCCTTTGGATTTAAGCAGGCTTTTGTTAGAATAATTTGGTAGTTAGGGAGTTTATATAATCTTGAGAGAACGGTAAGATGAAGGCAGGTGCTATATGTAGTGTACCTAAACTTAAATACAAGAAGGCTGGCTGTTAGATTGGTTTGTGTTCTTACCACTTACTGGTGCCTTTGGATTGAAGCACAGGAGGGAGTAAGCAGTTACTTTTTGTCTGCCATTTCTGACAGAAGAAAGGCAGAAATGTGGAGGTAGAGTACTTTCCAGTAGCTATTGCAAGTCAGAAGTTGGTGATAATTTAACTACTTAAGCAACACACTGATGGTGAAAAATGTATCAGCATGTATGTTTCTTTTCTCGATAAATGCACATTTTGGTGCTATCAATAACACCAGTAACAAAATTGAAAGGACGTATCTGCTGACGTGAGTGCTGCACAGGGGATCATGGCTCTCACGCACAGAGCCAGCTCCCTCTGTGCTCAATCCTGCATTGGAGCGCTGCGGTGCTGCACCCACCCCAGATGGCAGCAAGTGCTGGGGAAGGCCCTGCACCTTCAGGCACGTTCTTTGACTGTGGTCCGGGCTGCAGCAGACACCAGCCAGGCTCTGTGGTGTCTGAAAGTATGAGGAAAGGGCAGTCTGGCTGCAGCCCTGTGTGAGGAGATGGTGCTGGTTCTGCGCTACCACAGTGTATGCTATCAGCCCTCCAGTCTGCTTGCATGCCCCGAAATGGCTGCTGCCTGCCTGCCTTGCCACTTCCTCAGCCTGCAGCTCTGCAGCTGTACCTCCATCTGCCCACTGCCTGGTCTTTAATGTCTGCCTGGAAATATCAGCTAAGGAAGGGCACTTGAAAATATGAAAATTATAGCATGGCCTTTTAGCTGAACTCTCCTGGTGCTGCAGTTGACAGACAGCATTGGGAAACCATGAACAGATTGCTGACTGCACCTTGTGGGCAGATCTGCCAAGTACCTCAAGCTAAATAAGGTGAACATACGTGACCAGATGAAGAAAATATGGATCCTAATTGTAGCTAATCTCTTCTGACCTTAAGCTTCTCACCCCCAGCATGATTCTGAAATATATATTTTTATATATATGTATCTATCTATCTATCTTTTTTTTTTTTTTTTTTTTTTTTTTTTTTTTTGTGAGAAAAGGCTTGCTTTTTAGAGCTATTAATTTGATACTGGTAATTGATTTGAGCCAAAATGTCAGGATTTCTTTCATTGTTAATTAATTACCTGCTTTAAATTTCCTTCAGCGCTGTAAGAATTAAGTGTAAATCAGAATATATGATTTTGGAAAACATTTACATTATAATGTAGTCATACTGGTACTGAAATATTTTTGAGGATAATCACCATTTTTTGTACATTGTTTTTGTACAACCAAAGAATTTTCTTTAAAATCATTTTCCAGCTGAACCTTTGGTGTACCTGAGCTGTATTATCACAGAATTACTGTGGTTTTTTTTGCCATTCAGTTGAATGTCTGTGTCTTCCTTTGGGCTTGCTTTTTCCGGCTCTTGCTCCCTTCCCCCTTGTGCAAATATTCAAATACCACCGCGTTAATAATTAAGAGTAATAAAAAAGAATAGGCCCTATTAAAAAAAATAATAATAATAGAGACTTTTGTTCATACCTTGAAACTCTACTTTCACTTTTAGCAGCAATTTTTTATCTTTTTCATTACACCTGCAAAAAAAAAAAAAAAAGCACCTTTTCTTTGTTTAGAGTAGTAAGGTATTGACCAAAGACGTCCAGTCTGACAAGAGTCTGAAAGCTTTTTTTTTTTAATTCAGGCTTTTCCTTTTGCCAGCTTGCTATGGGACTTAGTAATTTTGTTACGCCTCGGGTTACTGCTTTTTTGGTTGCCTCAGTGTGTGTCCTGCATCAGCTTATATCAACTGCAACTAAATTGGAGCAACTTAATTGTTCCTTTTGTTATGCAGCATATTTTTCTCTGATTGGCTTGATTAATAATATATGTAAGAATGCATGAACCTTCATGCAAGCTACCAGTTAAAATATGTTTGGAAAAGCGAATGGCTGTCTTAAAGATGTCTTCTTATTTCGTACTTAAATTTTCAGAGACACATACCTCATGTCAGTGTCTCTGATTTTACAAAGCTCTACTTCATCCAAGTTTAAAAGAAAGAGGGAGAGGGGTTACTAAAAATTTAAGTATTTGCCCAGACAATGAGAAAATTAAGAATTTTCTAGGAAATTCTATCTTCCTTAAGTGCAGAGGAGGAACAGTAAAAGTTTTTATCTTAAAGCAAGAGAAGCAGCCTCACTACTTTTGTCCATGTGGACTGCATATTTTTCTGCTCTCATATTCATAAATGATTTTCTTAATGTGCAAAAATTATATGAATAAACTTCTGTACTAAGAATCTTTTGAGCCTAGTGTCAGAAAAAAGGATATATGAGTAAACTTTCTCAAAGAATGATATTTCTACCAGATTAAGATAATGGTGGTTATGGTGGTAGGGAAAATAATTTAAGATAACCATCTTTGCCTAGTAGATTGTGAGAATGAAAGCAGTGTGATGTTCCTTCATGGAAACAAGTTTATTCATGTCCTTGATTTGTATTTTTGTTGTTCAGAAACGAACGAATGGAATTAGAAGGAACTCCAGACACGTGGATCCAGGTTAGTGTCATGATTTTTCAATAGTTAATCATGAAATAAGGAGAGCAAGAAAACTGTAACTCAGGTTGCTTTATGATTGCTATTGTAGTGTATGTGATACTGAAAATTTATTGCTAAAGTTATGAAGGTATAATGCAATTGCTGTGTTAGTGATTTCAAAGATATGGTCTTATTTTTTTTCTTTAAGCATTGCTTCAGTTCTTTCTGAACAATGAAATGCCCCTGGGCTTTTGGTGAACTTGACACACCCTACTCTGTAGGGTGCAGTTTCAAACTGTACTTTGCAGTTTTATAAAGAAATAACGAAGTGATGAAAAGCATACAGTTGCGTACAAAACTTAGGTTCTAATCTGCGGAGTTGTAGGTATTCTGAAATCTAACTGTATGCAGTGCTTAGCTCTATTGGATGTGAGTTGCTCTTCTGAAAGACATATACACAAACTGTAGCTCTATGTAGAATCTAAAAGTGATTTTATTTTTTGCTAGTTTATTGCAGATATTCTTCTGGCATCGTGGCAGTAGCAACCCTTAAATTAAAAGCTTGCTTGTAGACTGTATACTCAAGTGGGTGATATTTTCCTCTGGAGACCCATTATGTGGCTGCATAAAATATGCAATGTTTTTTGGTGTAACTGTGTGATATTTTTAGTATCATTTTTTTACAGTAATTACATTTCTGTCCTTTATATGTTTCTTGTGTAGTGTAATTACTGGAGATTTGTTATGAAGATATCATTTGGAAAAAGCTAAGCTGTAGATTATTAAAGATTTCTAGGTCTGGATGCCTGAAAACAGTTGGAGTCAAACATTAAACAGGACAGCAAATTGATAGCACTTTATAGCCTGGTAGAGCTCAGCACTTTTGAATAAGTTAAGAGTGCTGGTTGTGCCACGAGCATTGCAGCTGCCTTGGCTCCGAAAGTCTTAAGGGCTGTAACTAGTTTAAGCAGGCCACACCTTTCTTATGCACGTATCTTTGACATGTCTTGGAATGTATATTGTTACTTTATTCCCTTTAGTTTATAAAGCTAGGTGCTTCATGGTGCACCTAGGTTTTTCTGTGTGTTGACTGAAATTTGTAAAGAAGAAACAAGCACTCTGTAACTCTAAAGTGATTTTAGTCGGAGGAGGAAACGCCAAAAATTATCAGTGAAATTATTTGGAAGAGGATGAGAACACGTACTTACTAGTACTCCGTATTTATACTTAGATGATTTTCAGATGAAGTGAGCTTTTTTATTTGCATTTTATCAGCATAGGCATTCTGAATCTTGCCGTAACTTGGTAGAGATAACAAAGATATGAACGTCTTTGGTAATCTTTTGGTAATCTCCTTTGAGCATTCTAGATAATGCTGCTCACGAGATAGCTTATTGTCTTGTGAGACAGAGGATGCCATCCAGGGAGCAGCACTTGCAAAAGATATTTTCAATATTCATTGCTGCATAGATCCTAAGTTCTTTTTAAGGAGACTGGCAGATTTCTGAAAATCCTAGCATCACGGTGAACTTGTTGCTGAGAGCAGTAGTCAATGAGGGGTACTTTTTAAGACTTAATGTGCTGTATTTTTATTATCTAAAGAGAAAAGTGAGTTGCCCAAGCTGGTGTCTATAAGAGGTCTAACAGTGCTGCTGTTACCCATATTTTGTGCTATGGTGCTGAAACATCAGTACTGATTTAGGAAAGCACATTTACTGTGAATCAATTGCAGACATCTGCAGTGTCTAAATATTGATGGACTTTGATATCAGCAGTAAACAAAATTACCGTGGCCTGCAAGTGTTTTTGCACAGTCTTTTCAATATCCTTTACTCATCTGCCATCTTTCTGCTTTTGTCTTCGACTACTTTAATAATGAATAATTAATGTAGGATGCTTAGTCAAGTTGATGTGTTATGATTTGTATAGGTAAATCCAGCTTTTACTGACACCACTTAGCACTGGCTGAAAGAAAACCTTTCCATTTGAGAGGATAGTCTAAAAGAAAAGTTGTTCATGTTAATACAGAGTTTAAGTATCTCTTACCTTCTGCTGGTAAAGCTTCTTGTTGGGGGAACCTATCTAGATGAAGAAGCCTAAAGGCAGCGAATCGTTCATTAACGTTCCACTTGCTTTTGTTTTTAAGATTAGTTGAAAGTGGAAGTTTCCTCTTAGAGTTTTGCTTTTTTTTTCTTTGAAGATGAAAGGTAGAAAGAAAAGTGATGAATGATTGGGAAAGCAGAGAAATTCTTAGGAAATCAAACAGCTGTGAGAAACGTGCAGGAAGTGCGGATAGAGAACAAGTAAAAGAGCAAAAGAAAATGCCTTTTCTCTGTGTTGGGTGCTATGACTTTACCACATGGTACAGTTGTACATGACCTGAACTAGTCTATCTATTACATTTTAGGCAAGTCTACTTTTAGAATAACAGTGAATGAACATGTAAATGCATCTGCACCTTTAAAGCTAGGAAGAACCTGGTCAAGCATTTGCATTTTACTGTAGAACTACAGGATTCTTTATAAATATATTTGAGAATTGATTAGATTGGTATCAGGTTATGCCTGGAATGGGCATGTGGAATGATAATTACGTATCACTATTTTGCAGTATTTTTGCAGGATCTCAAGAAACCATTTATACATATGTTTAATTTTAAGCGTGTCATTTGCTCTGTTGACATAAATGACAAATGGTCCATTTGTATGTATACTCATAAGTATAAATCTAAGGCTTTTTGTGTAGTTTTTTGAGAAGGATGGCAATCTGACTAGTATTTTTAATATTAATAATTGTGTATATATTGAGAGGGTTTTTTATTTTTTTTTCCAGCTATTGAAATAGTACCACGTATGTTTGCTGTCTTTATTTTTTAAGGGTGTAAAGAGAGTCTAAATGTAATAGATTCACAGCTTGGTGTTTTTAAAAGCTAGTTTTACCCTAAACATGTATGCTAATATAAACATTGCAACTTTAATCTCTGGAAGTGTGAAAGCATATTTCATATCAGAAGGATAAACTTGGTAAAAATAGAACACTAGAAGCCTTGTACTCAAGATTTATTGCAGATTAAACTCAAAATCTGATTTATGAAAGAGGGTCACTGAACACGTTCTGAGTTCTTAAACAGCTGATTTCATTGTAAGCATGGATTAAACCTGAGAAAACCTTAGTTGTGAATTGAGAGACATATGCAGCAGGTCTCTTACTTTCAAATAATCTAAAATATTGACTGAATTCTGTGGGGCTGAGGTAGTTTTAAGAGCATGTAAAATAATTGATAAAGTTATTTTTCAGTTAGATTTTGAACTCCAAACTAATTTTAAAAATACTTTTATATTTCTGATTGTTGTCTGGTCCAAGCTTGCTTTGTGAAACATTTCTTTGTTATAGATTTTAAAGAGATTATAAAGAAAAGAATCTGAAGGGAATGACTGTGTCTGCAGTCTAGATTGTATGTTTATGTATGTGTGTGTGCTTATACAACTGTGGATGCATATGTATGTTTGTATTAATATGCCTCAGATATTGTGGGTCAATAAAGTTGGAGGCGTTACTTTCAGAGCAACCTACATATATGTGTATATACACACATGTAGGTTTGCATTTGTGTATGTACATACATAGGTACATATATGTAAGTATATACATACATATACATATATGTAGGTTGCTCTGAAAGTAGTGCCTCTGACTTTCCTTAGAAAGTACAACAGATACAAAGAGCAAAGTAACACAATTTGATAAATTCTCAGCTACAAAACAGTATTTTTCAACATAGTCACCACGTTTAGCTAGTCACCACAGACCTTTGTTTTATATGCACTGGCATGTCAGACACCATTTTATCAAACTGTCCCTCTGGTGCCATCTGTCACACGACAACAAAATGGAATGGAATATTGGTGGGAAGGTTCAACATCCACTGCCATACCAACAACATCTGTCTCTGATGTTGTGGGACAGGAAAATAAAATAGGAGACATCACTTTTGGAGCAGTATGTGTGTGTGTGTATATATGTACATATCATAGAATGGCCTGGGTTGAAAGGGACTACAATGGTCATCTAGTTTCAACCTCCCTGTTATATGCAGTGTCACCAATCACCAGACCAGGCTGCCCACAGCTCTCCACTGTCTCAGTTTAAAACCATTTCCTCTTGTCCTGTCACTGTCCACCCTTGTAAACAGCCATTTCCCCTCCTGTTTATATGCTTCCTTCAAGTACTGGAAGGCCACAATGAGGTCTGCCCTGAGCCTTCACTTCTCCAAGCTAAACAAACCCAGTTCCCTCAACCTTTGCTCATAGGAAAGGTGTTCTAGGGCTCTGATCATCTCAGTGGCCCTCCTCTGGACCATGTCCTTCTTGTACAGGGGGCCTCGGGCCTGGACACACAGGTTTAGAGATATTTACTTAGATGTGGTGGAAAGTGAGGCACTGTGTGCTTCATGTTGAAATTGGATTATGAAACCTGAGTAGTGTTTGATTACTAGACAGTGAAACAGTATTCAGATGTGTATTGTGGTAACAGTTGTATCTAGTTTTCATTGTAAAAGTTAAGGAATACTGTAATATGGGCACGTTAACTTTCCTTTTCAGTTAAGATCAAGGAATACAGGACTGCCGTGTTTCAACAAATTCTGGTGCAGTGTACTGTTCTGTGCCTGTCAAGTTTATCCCTGATTGCTGTCTCAATACCACTCCAACTACATGTTCAGCCAAAAGAACATTGGCCCAAATTCAAATACTAGGATATCCCAACCTGCAGTTAGTTGTTTGCAAAGCATGTGCTATAATAGACAAATATATCTTCTTAAACTGAAAATTTGAAGCAGGCCTCTGATTTTCTCTTGAACTACGCAGATGAGTCCTTGATAGTCTTGAATGTTGTCTTTGTTTCTTCAGCCCAAATGTGCAGGGAATATCCCATGTTATGAATAAGGAAAGATGGCCTACTGCAATCTTTAGCTCAGCGCTGAAATGCTGGTGTTCGAGAATTTATGTTTCCATTTCAACAAT